AGATTTTTGTAAAATAAAATATACAAGATACTAGTAATGTAAACACGGTGAACAAGGGCAAATTGACACACTTTCCTACTCTGAACTCACTAATAACATTAAAACAAATCAAATAAAGCATAAAGAAACATAATGAAAAAAATAACAGTTTCATTTTTGCTGTGTATCAGAACAAACAGTGTTTGAAATATGATGTGATTTTATCCATTTTCTACCTCCCTGATTTTAATTATAATTACAACTTGTATTTGACATGAAAACTTACCTGCCATTTATTACATGTTGACTACATGATAGTAAAATCATTTGTATTCATTTATTCATTCTGTTCTTAACAGCAGCATGCATGTAATATCGTATTATACATCATACATTTAATTTATTAACTATTGACTGAAAGAAATGTAAAACTATTTTAAGATCATATTTGGCTAAAGGAATTTGGATTTGAGACTAATCTTTACTTAGCCATAGATGATAGTTTGCTTTCACAGATGTTGGAAGCAGAGAATGATACTAAAATATCTTTTTACTTTCCCTTTTTATACTTATTACCTAATCTGACATCTCTAATATGTTGTTTATTATGATTTCTAAATATTAATTTTTCTTTTTTGGGGGGTGGGGGGACTGGGGATTGAACTCAGGGGCACATGACCACTGAGTCACATCCCCAACCCTATTTTATATTTTTATTTAGAGACAGGGTCTCACTGAATTGCTTTCACCTCACCTTTGCTGAGGCTGGCCTTGAACTCACAATCCTTCTGCCTCAGCCTCCCAAGTTGCTGGGACTGCAGGCATGCACCACTGGGCCGGCCTTTCCCCCCACCCCTCTTCTTTTGCCATTTTTTTTAAACAAGAAGTTTATAGAAAACTGCAATTTGTTTTCACTACATCCTGGGTTGATATGTTTGCAACAGGAAAATTCTTAGGCTTTCAACATTCTCTCTAGTCTTCTGGGGCTCCAATTATACATATATTAGACCTTCTTGCTTCATCCTTCGTATCTCTTAAGCTTTATTCTATATTTTTCATTTTTTATCTTTGCACTACATTCTGTATAATTTTTTTCTTATCTACAATTTACTAATTCCTTCTTCTGTCATGCCTGTCTATTGAAGTTTTAATTATAATGTTGTTGTTGTTGTTACTATTATTAGTATTGCTAGACATTCTGTTTCTTTTACCAATCTGTGTGTCACATTAAAAAGTAATTTCTGGAAGATTCTTTCAAACTCTTATTTGTTTCTATAACATACTCGTAGCTTTGCAGTATATATAAGTCTGTTCTTGCTGTCAGGTTCTTGCTGTGTTAACTCTTGCTCCAGGTACCTGTTTTCTTGGGTGAAGCATTTTGATGTTATGCCAGATCATTGTCATTAAAAATGATTCATACAGATTCTTTGAAGCCTAAGATGAAATAGCTATTTTGAGAAAGGATTTACATTTAATTCGGTTAGGTCCCCATAGACTTGTGAAGTTTGGGACCTTCTTAAATCAGGTTCAATATTTAATGCAAACACTCACATCATCTACTTGCTTTCTTCCTCCTCTTCTAGGCTTCAGCTCCTTTTAATCAGGAGTCACTTCTTATCATATTTCATGGATAGTACAGTTTTCAGCTTGTGAAAAGTGACTGATAAATTTTGGTTGAATTAATAAATCTTTAAATTATCACATCTATCTGGTTAATTTATTTTCTCTGTCTTTATTCTTGGTTGGTAACTTAAAAGAAACAATCTATATTAGATATTATTCCCTATTATGCATGTTTTCTGCAAGGCATATTTGTATATTGTCTCTCCTTTATAAATTATTCTAGTGTTGTACCATATAAGGGGTAAATATCTGCTTCCAGGCTAACTTTCTGCACTCCCATGCTTCTGCCCCAAAGTGTATCAACCACAGTTTCTGTGATTCCTCAAACCTTAAATGAATACTCTGGAGTGTTTTTTGGTCTCTGGCACTAACCTTTTGTGGCCCCGGAAATGGTGAAACCATCCTAACATCTTCTGTTAATTATACATAATCTCACTTTCCTCAAGTTCTCTCTAGAGTTCTGATCTTTGATTTTGCCACTGTCTTGCTCATAGGCCACCATGAGTTTTACTAGTGCCCATAGAATAGATCCAAACCTGTTAGCTTATTATTTTTGCAACCTTCATCTAAGTGGCAAAGACAGATTTCTTGAAAGAATATGATATCTACTAAATCAGACTTCACTACTTACTGACCATGTGACTCCATATAAGGTACACTTCTGAGCATTGGTGTGCTGGTATGTACAGTAATACTATACCATAAGGGATAAACTACATAAAACTGCTAGTACTCACCAGAATTAGAATAGCCATATAAGGCATTTCTTTCTAGCAGGGTTTGAAAAGGATAATAGCATATTCTTATTCGTGTATTATTGTAGGCATATGGATGCTCAATAATTTCTAGACTTTAGTTTTCTTATTAAACATAAAGTGGAACCTTAAGTGATAACTTTGGAGCTTAAATATGGGAGGATACTTGAGGCATCCGATTCAATATTTGGCACAAGTGTTACTTCATTATCCCCCTTCCAACTCAGGCACAACTTTCCCTTTCTTATGGAATATCAATAAAAATTGTAAATTAGAATATAGTATATAAGATTGTTATTCTTATCTCTACTTTTTAAAGTCCAAGCTAGCCTTTAAGGCCAAGTTTTAATGCCACTTACTTCATGAGGCATCCCTGATTCTCATTCCTGAAATACTCATCCCACATTCTAGCCAGGATACCAATGCAACCAAAGGAAAATCTTCAACCAATCTCAGCTGATACTTGAATTTCCTATATGTCAAAAGGTATAACTCTGCAATGCACAAAGCTAAGCAGCGTTCTAGCTCCTACCAAAATGGTTTTAGAGATGAAAATTTTATTATCTTCTGAATAGGTCTATTTATTTCACAGATAGCCTTAGTCTTTCCCCCTAAATTTTCTGCATTTGTTCCTAGGTACAGCTGTGTTCCTTCTTACACACAGTGCCAGAAACAAGAATATTTCTTAAAATACTTGATTCAATAATAATCTTTCTCCTTTTGTGACTATAACCTGTGCTAACACACTGGGGACAACCATGAAGTCATGCAGTACTCTTAATTGCCCTTGTATTTAGTTAAAACCTTGAAATCTTCTTTTAAAATATGTGTTTGTATTAAATGATTTCTCCCCTGCCTTGTATTAATAGGGTTGTTTTTGACATCTGTGATTAAGCCCCCCAACATACATACATACTACATGAATCTGGGTATATTTCTTTTCTTATTAAAACTATTGTGAACCTGATCAGTATTTCAAACTCCTGGATTCATTTGTTTTCCATGGTTTCTTCCAAGGTACTCTATTTCTAGTATAAAACTTAGCTCATTCTATTTTGCCACATAGTTTGTGTACATTTTATGTTTGCTCTTAGGTGGGCTTCCCTAGAAGCAGAGCCTCTATCTAGGGGCTGGTTGACAATTCTGTGGTCTTCCAGTCTTGCTATCCTCTTCTGAGGAAAAAGCAGTTCTACAGAGTGGAAGTGCAGCTATGAGTTGTTCTCTGCCAAACCATAGCAGCTGGGATACAGCCAAAGGGATCCAGACACCAAGAACATCTACTATAGACACCCTGGGTTGTAACTCTCCAGTAGGGAAACTACATATTATTTTTCTTTGTATTCTCCCTAAACCTGATTTTTTTTTATCTTTCACAGTGAAAGCACTAATTTGTGAACTGATTTATTAAAGATCTGGAGGAAATGTCTCCTAGTTTTCACTTATTGCAAACTATAGCCATTTGTAATAACAGATACCTATGAGGGACTTGGTCACTTCCCCCACCCCCCCACCCCCACCCATGCAGCAGAGAGCCAGGGTGTGTGAATGACAGAAGGATACAGACATTCATACTACACATTCCAAGAATCTGATTTCCCTGTCAACTCAAAAAACTGTCTAAGGACAAATGCTCAAATTTAGAATAGGAAAATAGCTTCCACAATACCAAGACAAACACAGAAAAGGGCAGAATTTCAGTCTATCCCATTTATCTCTTACATTATATTTGGCCTTTAAATTTTTATTTATAAATTTACACACACACACACACACACACTCACACACACACAGTTAAACATGAGAATTTTCTAAAAGAATAGTAAATGAATAGCAAAAGCCTATTTCTTCATCATCTTGACTTTTATTTCCACTCTTAAGACTAACTATTGACTAGTATTAATCTTTTCTTGTGTGTGTATTCAGAAATTATTTAGACATACAGGCATATATATTTGCAACTTTATATACAAAGATATAATAGCATGAGACTGCTGTCTGTTTCTACTAATAACACATCTTACAGAATCTTCTACATCAACACATCGACATCAATATCGCTTTTAAATGACTATGAAATATCTTACAATTTATTTAAGCTGACATTTTTCTAGTTTTCACATCTGATAAATCATGGTTTTTGCTACTCAAATTGTTACCACCAGAAAATGTGCTTTCTTGTGTTTGTCTTTGTATATATGTTCTCAGCACTATTAAATTGAAGCCCTACCCTTATTTCTGGACAGAAACCTAGTCAGGGGCAGTAAACATGACTTCCAGATTTCTTGCATCTCTTTTAAATAGTACATCTTCAAGCCTAAGTTATGCTTTCTCACTCTCTGCCCATTTGTTTTCAGCCTTTTTCCAGAATGCGACTTTTAATCAGAAAAGATGGATGTTGCTATGGTTGGGAAAAAGCTACAAGTCATTTTAAACCGCAGGACACAGTCATAGCAAGTTCCTAGAGCCACACTGGTATATAATTTAAATAGTAGCATAATTATGTTCAGAGGAACAGAATTTCTGAATCTTGCTCAGAATTTAAGAGGTTCAGTATTAAGAGCTTGTCTCATGCAAGTTTCTTTCAAAGACACAAATCAGACTTTCCAGAAGTACTCAGAGCCTTTCTTGTCTCTTTGCTTGCAGTGAAGTACATGCGAGAAGCCACGCCCTACGTGAAGAAAGGATCTCCAGTGTCTGAGATCGGCTGGGAAACACCCCCTCCTGAGTCCCCTAGGTTAGGGGGCAGCTCCTCAGACCCTCTGTCATCGCAGTCCTTCTCCTTCCATAGAGACCGGAAAAGCATCCCCCTCAAAATGTGCTACGTCACTCGGAGTATGGCCTTGGCTGACCCCGAGAACAGGTAATGAGAGCCAAAACTCTCCTCCTTATCTCAGCAGCTCCTTGGCCTCTGAGGTGAAGCAGGCCCTTTGCCAGGCTCTGCTCCTGATCTGAAAACTCGCTCTGGTTCCCAGAGAACAGCAGGAATAAGCCCCGCTGAGAGTGTGTGAGCTCCACCCAGAGCCCTGTCCCTGGTCCACCCTCCTTCCTTGCTCTCACCTTCCTGCAGACTGTGCACGCTGAGCCCTAGCATTGGAAAGACTGGACGGATTGAAATTAGGATCCCAACTTTCATTCTTGGCTCTATCATTGCCAGCTTATGTGACTTAGTGCACATTTCTCAAATCACGGATACCTCATTTTTGTCATCTGTACGATGGGAATAATTATAACAGAAACCAGTTGTGAGGGTTCAACGGGGAAATCCAGGCCAAGTGCTTAGCATCACGTGAAGGGTTAGATGAGAGAAGCCTTGAAGCTGTTTTCTACTCACCTCCCTTTATGCTCAGGAGAGAAAAAGGAGCAGCTTCAGACCACGCCTGGAGTGCTGCTTCCCAAAGTCTGTGCATGACTTTGTCACAGGATAGAGGTATCACCAATCCGGGGCAACCAGAAGGAGTCCTGCCAAGTTGAAGTAAATATTTGGGGTAACTCCCCCCCCAAAAAAAAATCTTACTTTAAATCATCTGAATAGAAAAATGTACGTGTTGGAGGAAAGCAAGAGATATAGAAAGGGCAGGAACTGAGCCAGGAAGCGGGGTTCTCCATGACCTCTGCATTCTCATTAAAGTGCTAAAAATAGGCTCGGCTCTACTGGTCCTTATTTATCACATGTGTGGGACAGCTGTAACCCACCCGAATAGGAAATATTTGGCTAGGTTCAGAGTTGCTGACGGGGAAAAGCCAAAGGGAATAGGGCAAGGGAGAAAATTGCCTTCTTGGCTCCCAGCTTGGTGTCTTTCTCTGTTCTCAGCCAGTGAGCTCACTCCAGGGAAGCTCTAGGGCCCTACTCACCTGCCCCCCTATGTCAGTTATGCCTGCTCAGGGCTGGGCCACTTCTGAGACAGCCAGCAAGTAGAGGCAAGAGAGGAGGCAGAACAGGCCTAAGGAGTCGGAGTCCTTTGTTAATGGACTTAACTGTTCTCCATCTTGTTCCCACTGGATTTCTGCCTGTTTCGTGAGCCTGCTGTTCGTGTGTTGCTTATCCTGAGTTTCTTCTTCCCTGGCCTCTTACCCACCCAGCCAGACACGTCTTTTCTCCCAAGAACCTGACATGGAGGCCTCAGATGGGATGAAGTGCTTGTCTTGTTTAGGCTTTGCACTAATTCATGCCAGAAATTGCTGTCTACAGGTCCATCCAGATCACAGATAAATGCTGTTTTTTAGTGGTCTAGCTAGGGTTCTAAAGAAATCTAAATTAGCTGACCTAATCGGGAAAATTCACATAAAAATGACAGATTTCTACTTTTAAGAAAAATTGAAAGACCTAGTGATATTGGTAGAGGTTTCTCCTTTGAGAAGGGAATGAATCCTCCTAGTCACCCCTGTTATCTATTCTTAGGGGATTCCATTAGTTACCTGCCTAGTGCTTTACTTTACCTGCCTAGTCTTTGACATTATAACCCTGCTTAGTCCTCTTGAGTTTCTATCATGATCTCCATCCTATAGATAAATAATTGAGGCTAAGAGTAAGTTGGTAACATCATATACCTAGTATATTGTATGATTGGGCTTCAAACCCCTGCCTATAGCATGAGTGACAGCATCAGGCAGTAACCAGTCATTTCCAGAAAATGCACAGGGACTGGAAAACTTTATTGAAGTATCACAAAAGCTATCAATACTTTGGGGAGAAATTCCAATGGGGTGATTTCTAGGATTCCTTCTAGTGGTAGACTTATATGCCATAATGTTACTCCTAGATTAGTCAATTATATTTTAAAGAATGTTTTGGTAGACATCAGGCCTGAATCAAATATTGGAAACTTCATTTTGTGTATCAAGCCTGTAGAAGAGAATAGGTTTGAAAACCTTTATGTCGGAGCTCTTCAAATCCACCTTTGTTGAACATCTGCAGGCCTCCCACGTGGGAGAGGGAGAGCCTGCTCTACCAGGGTGTCAAAACAAGCAGGACAGAATGAAAACAAGGATTTGGCTAAGCCAGAGGCTTCCCAAGGAGACTTCAGGTGCAGATGGGTCTAAACTGTTGTTAGCAAGGAGATCATGGACCTTGGTGAGACTTCCCCTGGTTGAGGAAAAGAAGAAAATAAACAAATGTTTTGTGGAATTCCAAGAATATACTGGTCAGAGTATAGCATACCATCAGAAATGTAAAATCTGCAAAACACAACTTTATGCAGAATACAAAGACACTGCTAACACAAAGTGATTTGAAAGGTGAGAGATATAGTGAAAGCAGACAAGGCAAATGCAAACTACCAACAGCAGCAAAAAGGCCTCGATTTTGATCTTGACAAATGACCAGGTAAATTGTAGGCTCAAAAGCACAAAATGAGACAAGGAAGGACTGATTTACACTGAGGCCAGAATTCACAAGGAACATTCAATAGTTAGGAATGCTTACCAAATAAGACAGCAGCAATCTTTAGAGAAGAAAGTGCAAAAAAGAAAGAGACAGACATGCACTCATATTAGATAATTTAGCACACACCACTACAGGGAAGTGAAGGACAAAAGATAAACTGCACATAAGAGACACCAACAACATGATTCATAAGGCAGACTGGGATACATTGCAAAATCTGTACCCTCATAATAGAGAAAACATTTTCTTTTCAAATCTGCATAGAACATGCACAAAATTCTCCACACATAAGGTCACAAAGAAAATACAGTAAATTCCGTAAGGTACGAGTAAAAAATGCAAATAACATTCTCTGATGATAATAGAATAAAACTAGAAAATCAATAACAAATTAAGACCTCAGAATGTATAATATCTTTCTTCTTGGACTTTTAAGGTTTCTCCATAAAATAACTCTTGGGTCAAAGGAAAAATATGAACTACAATTGTACCATTTCTTTAAAAAAATAGTGATGTAAACAGTGCATGTAGTAAATATAAAAGAGAAACAAGAAGAAAAAAAACAGGTATAAACTGTGTGGTCAGCTCAACCCATGGTGAAATCTTGGTTCGACAACATATACATGAATTTAAGCAAGAATTTCATTTACTTTAAATAGCCATCCTAGGTCCTAAGTCCTCTCATCTCCATTTTATTGACAATAAAACTTCATGAGAAGTGAGACTTGAAGCCAACAGCAAATCTGGAATTCCAGGCCTGGCTGTCACCAAGCCCAGTTTCTGAATCCTTGTTCCCACTGCCTCCAAATTCTGCACCTGGCAGAACAGCTCACCTGCACTGTAAGCCAGGAGTTAATGGTCTCCTGGGTGCTAAAACCTGAGAATTGATGACAAATGCTACAGCATCTCGGGGCTAATCCTCTCAGTTGGTGACACACAGCTGCTTAGAGTTTGCATTAAAACCTCTAATGCTCAATTTCTCAAATAGAAACAGCCATAGAACAGCAGGCAAGATTGCTGCTCTTTCTGTAAAAAAGGTCACTCCACAGGCACCGACTGCACAAGGACCTTTCCCTGCTCGTGGGTATCAATGATTACAGCATTTTTAAAATTCTACCTCTTACACATCTCTTGCTTTTCATATTCAGCTCTTTGCCTTCATAGCCGCTGCCCTGGTCCAGGCCACATCCTTAGTTCCTCAAAGTTGCTGGATCTATTTCTGACTGGGTGCTTTGTTTCCCACTTGCTCCTTCTCCATCCCCATCTACTTCACACCCTGCTAGTCTAGAGAAGGAGAGAAACTTGAAATTTACCCTTTTGATCAAATGGCTTTTTATCACCTGTGCTAACACCTGACACCTCAGAATTGCATGAAAACCCCATTAGGTTTTGGATCTTCCCCAACTCTTCAGCTCTGCGCACCTCATCCTTTATGATCCAGCAGCCCTTAAATAACTTGTAAACTTCCTATAGTTGCTTCCTGACAACTTCCTGCTCACCCATTAAGCCTCAGCACAGGGAGTCTTTTTGGACAGGATGTCCCACTACCCCTTGTGTACACTACACCTCCATCCATTCTACAGTACCTTTCTTAATGACTTGCAAATCATTCCTATGCCTACCTAGTTCCAGAGCTTCTCAAGCTCTGAGGTACCCTGTATTTTTATTTTAGTGCCCCAGCTCTCTGGAACTTTGGTGCAAAAGTATGCATTCAAAAATATTTTGTTAATAAATTATAGATGGCATGTTTATCTTCTTTGGGCATTTTTACCTTTTCAAACATTTCTTGAATAAAAAATAAAACTTTCCACTAAAATAACCTTGAGATAACAGAATAAATAAAATCATAGCTGTATGTTGACAGAGGTAGGGAACTTAAAGAAACCAGACAATCCATTACCCAAGTCTATTACTGGATTGAGAGCAGCTATACCAACATGGGCAGTTGACAAGGTGTCAGTCACGACCATGTGCTCTACTACACACCAGAATTCCTGTAGGTTTTCCTGGTTATAGTATAGAGAGAAATACACAACCACTCTTGGAAAAAAAGTATGCATCTCTGTTTGTGGTGAACAAATGAAAAAAATCACAGAAGTTCCTGTCCTCTTTTCAAATAGAAAAGCTCCACTCAACACACTTGGTGATTTCAAGGGGTCTGATATGTTCTCCATCAGTGATGTCACCACAATCCAGCACCTGAGATTCAGCCATAGAAGATCTACAACTTGATTCAGAGCATTATGAGAGTGAATTCCTCTCTAAGAGGTAGACACACATTAACCTCATAGCCACTTACAAAGGATACATGATCTCACTGCATGAGAAATTTAACTGTCATAGGAGTTATTTGGTGAGTGTGGAATCAATACAAGAGGTGCTAATAGATCTGAAGAAGTATATTTTAGACAAGGAAATTGGAGGCCCTTCCTTTGGGGATGGGGAGAGCCTTGTCAAGGTGACCATTATGTAAATTT